CTGGTGCCTAGCTTATACCTTTTTTGTTTATCCAGGCTCTTCTTCCAAAGAAGGCTGCACTCAGCATTTTCATCACTGAATATCCATGCTTGTTTGCAGCCTGCCAGACATTCTTGCTTTCAATTCCATGTCTTCAGGAACTTCTTACACATCCAAACCAGCTCAGGACTCTGAATTTATTTTTTTCACTTTTTTTGTGAAGATCTTTAAAATGTAAGCACTCCTATTATTCAGCAAATTGTTTAAATGTACTTTCTCTTTCAAAAGGAATATTTCTGTTTTTTAAGGTTTTTGTCAGAAAGTTTGGTTTGTCTGAGAAGACCTCTGGATCTGAGGGAGGCAAAGGTACCAGGTTAGATGTGACACTGAGATGTTAAAAGTGACCAGAAAAGAAAGGCTGTGAAAAACAGTTAAGTTCTCCACAACCCCCAGCCATCTGTCCTTAGCAGTTCCCAGCAACAATCGACTTCAAAACTTCAACTACGGTCAAAGAGGGAATAGATAAACCAACAATATGACACACAGGCAAACTATGACAAAGTGAAATTCCAGTAAACACAACATTATCAAGGAAACTTTAGTCCACAGAGCTAGCTAGCCTTCCTGTTCTCCGTGAGCAGCAACCGGGTGGGACTCCCTCCCCTACTGCTGCACTCATGGGAGCTGGGACAGGCTCAGCTTGGACAATGGAGCGGGTGCGGGGACAAGCACAGCAGTGGATAAGCCACCCTGGCTTGCATGACGGCACCACAGAAAGAAGACTTGCTGGCTGCTCCATCGAGACTCACATAATGTACACCGGGCCTCATCGCTCCCCTCCCATTTAGGCCAGCAAATAAGAACTTCCCAACATCTAAGAAGTGTGTAATCACATTCCTCACCAAAGAGTGAGTTTTTATGAGACAAAGTGGGCAGGGGCAGGTTTCCAGTGTGTTGCCACCCCAATGCTGTGGGCTCAAGGCCAGAGGCAGGCAGGCACGGAGCAGATGGAGGCCTGGCAAGGTCTCTGCTGTCCCTGCATTAGCAGCATCTGCTCATTACTCAGAACCTTCGCCTGCTTTAGCTAATGCTCCAGGAAAAGCATTTTGATTTGATTCATTTCAGTGTGGCAACGTGCAACACAATTAGTGGTCAAATCAAACTGGAGGATAGCCAGAGCTGACAATCGGAAACAAGGCAGAAGAAATATGAGGGCAGTGGGTTGGAATTCAAAAAATCACAACTGTGGATCACTTTGCCAAGTCTCAACACCCCAGGTGCAGGTACAATGCTCCTGCAGGGCAGCAAGGCAGAGAGGGACAGAGGATGACTTGCTTTCTCCCAGGGTGACCGTATCACCCTGGATTACATGCCTTCCATGGAGACCGTGGTAGAGATGTCTGAGGGTCTTGATGGCTACAGAGCTTCAAGTTGGCACCACCAGAGGGCTAGAGTTCATTAACTCATTTTATTATCTTACTCTTCTCTTCTACGGGCACAGTCACAAGTCGAACATAGCAGACCCCACAAGGTAAATTTCTCTTTTGTCATGGTTTCACCTAAAAAGTGCCAGAACATAGCTCTTGGTAAAGAAGCAATGAAAATATGTGCATAGGTTATTTGAAAAGGTCTGGCCCAGAAGTAGCCATTTGTGAATATGTTGGTACAAATATTGTAGTGGCAATCTGTTAAACTGAAGTGAGAGCAAAGGCAGGGCCACCTGAGGTCTAGGAAAGGGAACGAGAGTCGCTGGTTTCCACAGAAACAATAACAACTTAGACCAGGCTGGCAAATCAAGACTGACATGATAGAGGCACAAGAAGACACAAGGACCCTTTCAAGAGAAATAGCCCTAACACCAAAACAGATTCCAGACAAAGCCAAGGTTTTGCGGGACACTACATGCTTGCAACCACTGTAGTGTTTAGTGCCTTCCCAAACAGGACACAAAGTAACATAAGGAGAGCCAGTGTGATGTGGATGTGTTCTCCTAGAAAAGTGAACTGCAACACGCCCAAACACAGACCCATATACAAGAACTTCCTATGACAAGCTTGTAAAGGCGGTATAGCACCTTTGAGCAGTGAGGTAATGATGGATTGGATTTTCTTCTACAAAAAGTGACACTCTCAGATAAATATTGCCAACTAATCCAGGATGAATTCTTTAACTCCTAACTATGTTACTCAGAATTACAAAATGGCAAAATACTACTTACGGATTTAAAAATTAAAATCGCATGTGTATAAAAACTTATCTCCTAGAAAAAGAAATCTTAAAACATCTATTGAGCTGGGCGCTGGTAGCTCACGCCTGTAATCCTAGCTAGTCAGGAGGCTGAGATCTGAGGATTGAGGTTCAAAGCCAGCCCAGGCAGGAAAGACCCTGAGACTCCTATCTCCAATAAACCATTAGAAAACCGGAAGTGGTGGTGTAGCTCAAGTGGTGGAGTGCTCACTCTGAGCTGAAGAGCTGAGGGACAGCGCTCAGGCCCAGAGTTCAAGCCCTATGACCGACCAAAAAAAAAAAAAAATCTATTGAAGGACAGATGATTTAAAAAAAAAATCTAAAATACTGATGACTAGGGCTATTCCTCTGCCCTTTCAATCAGAAAAGCTAACAAACCCCAAGAAAAATGGGTGAGCACAGGCACAGTTTGCAGACAAATAGAAACAATTTAAATCATGAGAAAACAATTCTTATACACTGCTAAATCAAGAAAAGTAAAAGCCAGATTCTGGCGGAAGGGGGTTACTGGAAAGCAAATGAAGGGGTGACATTGTCCAAAAAAGAAATATACTCATGTCCAGCACTGGTGGCTCATCCTGTAATCATAACTACTCAGGAGGCTGAGATCTGAGGATCACGGTTCAAAGCCTATCTGGGGAGAAAAGTCTGTGAGACTCTTATTTCCAATTAACTACCAGAAAATTGGAAGTAGAGCTGTGATTCTACTTGTGCCTTGAGCAAAAAAAAATCTCAGGGACAGTGCTGAGGCTGAGTTCAAGCCCCATGACTGACAAAAAATAAAGGAAATAATTGAAATAGCTCGCTATCCTATTGTTGCTCCTGATCCACTACATTGGAAAGTTTGAACCTCTAAAAGCTCTATTTTCCTACTTGCCCCAAAGTTGTTCACATGCAAATGTGTGTGCACGTATGCGTGCGTGCACACGCGTGCACGCACACACACACATGCGCACATACGAGCATCCTCTCAGGCTGTACTGCAAACTCAGACATGAAAGAGGGTACAAATACATCAGGTACATGTGCAAGGGTCTGAAAGGGTCATGGCTATTAAAGAAATAGCCCTGGAACTATAGCCCAGGCTGGGGAGTCAGCCAGGTTTCTGGATTCAAAGACGTCAACCTCAGACAGATGACCTAGATAGCTGCACTGGACCTCTGGCTCACCACTGGCAGAAGATTGTACATGTATGCATTCTTAAGTTGCATAGCAAGTGGAGGCCACTAACCAATTTTAAAGCTGAACGATTCTAACTTAAAAGTAACACAACTTTCACACATTTTGAAACTCAAATAATTTGGAAAGGAAAAAATCACTTAGGCTGTTCTTACACTGCTGATTCAGGATCTCCATTACCACAAATGAAATATTAGTAATTCTACAACAGAAGCACCTTAGCTAAATTTCTATAGGCTAAAAACCCAATCCATCAATGGTGTCTACAAACATCAAATCAAAATCTTATTCTTACTGCTGAAATTAAGTACTGTAGCTCAGTGGTGGAAAGCCTGCCTAGCTGCATAAGGCCCTGGGTTTGATCTGAGCACAAGAAAGAAAATTTAGATGTCTGCCCTAATTTGCATTTTAAATGGTATCCTAGTAATTCCTCACAAGCTACTATCCAGTCCCTCTGTGGCAGCTGTTACACTGAATGTGAATGACAGCTCTGTTGCCAGGACATGAACAGCACCATCTTGAAATATATTGCACTCCAACTTCAGCTAAGTGGGAAGTAAGTATTTAGGAGGACAAACTTTACACCATTGTGAGGCTAGGTACACAAGGAGTAGGCCACAGAACACTGCGGCTATTACGATGAGTATTTCTAGCAGCTACAAACTGTCAAGTGTTCATCACTTCCATAAAACTAACTTTATACTACTCTTTGGTTGCTGGGGTTTGAATTCTGGGATTCCTGCTTGCAAGGCAGACCTTCTCGTACTTGGGCCATACTTCCAGCCCATTTTGCCTTGCTTATTTTTGAGATAGGGTCTCATGTTTTGTCAGAGCCAATCCGGATCATTATCTTCCTGATTTACTTCCTTCTGTAGCTATGATGACAGGTGTGAACCACTTCTCCCAGATTTTTCTGTTGAGATGGGATTGGCCTAACACTATGACCTAATCTCAGTCTCCTGGGATGACAGGAGTATACAACATGACCAGCTACGGTTAAGATGTGGTCTTACGAACTTTCTTCCCTGGGCTGGGTGTTGAGTCATAATCCTGATCTCCACCTTGTGAGTACTTAGGATTACAGGTGTGAGCCACTGGCACTGTCTAAACCCACAGTTACTCACACAGAGAATTGTGTCAGTGCCACAAAAAACACGCTGCCATCACTGCCTTGGTTGGCAAACACTCCTAGCTTCTAGTCCGGCCCAGTCCATAGGTTTTGTCCATTTCCTTATCACTATTCCTTTTGGACTGAACAGAGGCTTAATCAAACCAGGCCAAGTATATTTCATATTTTATACCAAACAAGTTATTTGCTTAGGATAGTTTGGCCAGTCTCACCATGCTTGGCACTAATACCCAGCCCAATGGTTCCAGTAGGATTTAAACACCAGTTGTGATGGGTGCCATGTTCCAATGCCTACTAATATACTGAGGGTACGGGCCAACTTCTTCCTATAAAGGCAGTGTGAGTGTGAGTGAACGTGTGTGTGCCCATGTGGATGTATGCAGGGATTAGAGGGTGAGCCAGCCGCAGCTGCTTCATTTCTGTGCTGCTTTTTTCCTTAATGGGGAGGAGGGTTATGGTTTCTTACCATCCTCATAAGCCGCCACAGCCAGCGAGCTGTTTATCCTCACAAAAGAGACATATGGCTGCATTCCAGGCTCATCCTCTTCATATTCGGATTCCAGGAAAGGGGCCACATAGTCCCAGGTGCGTGTGTCCCACACCCGTACATCTCCAGATGTATACCTGGAAAAGAACACACTTGATTCTAGAAAGGGCTTGAAGAGAACAGGAGAGAAGAGGGCAATCCGGTCAGCGAGGAGCCCCTCCTCCTGTACAGCTACTTGGATCAGGACACCAACACAGAACTGTCACCGCATAACAGAAGGCAAGGAACTCGACTCACGGACTCAGTGCAAAAGTGGCAACTTAAGAGAAAACTGCAGGAAACTGGGCTTAATTGCTTCCCCTTTTCACCATTACAACCAACCCACTATGTTCTTCTCCACTAACAGAAATGGGGATTGGCAACATTCTCTCTCTTAGTCACTCATTCTGTCTCTGCTCTCCCCCTACTCACAGACACACAGGAGATGCTACTGAGAGGCTGCAACTAATGGTTCAACCTGCATCAGGCCTCTCTCTAAGTCCCTAAAGACTGATTTGCTGAAACAGCTGAAGCTTTCCTGCAGCAGCGGGCAGTGCTGCCGCCTCTCCTGCAGGAGTGCATTCTCACTCTTCCTGCTGCTTTTCAGTGGTTCTAGGCAGGGCCCAGCCTTGCTCAAACACAAAGACTCAACCATGGAGGGATTTAGGCCATGTGTGGGCCTGACTCCCCATCTACATAGGCAATGGTAGGGTAAGAATGGAGTGGCTGCACCGCAACAGCCTCACAGAGGGCCTGGTAAGGACTGCACAGTACAGAGATGCAGGTGACTCCAGGGAGCTCACACACTTCCTGAGACCCCAGCATGGCAACTTCGGCATTAACTACAGAACTGCATAAGACAACCTGCAGGATCGACGTCAGCAATGAAGTCTGTTATGTGACATATGTATGAGGCAGTTACAGAGGTCCAGTCTCAGGTGATACCATTCTAGGAGGCCTTTACTTACTACATGCAGCAGCATTTCCCCAAATGACCAGCCTACAGTAGGTGTGTGCATTACACAAGCAGTTACCCGGTCACGCCAGCTCCCTCCATTGTGGAGCTCAGCTCCGTGCCTGTAGGACAGAGCCCACAGAGGCCATGTGGTGGGAAGAACTGAGCAGGAGATGCGATTACAAACACTGAACTATTGGCCCTCAGTCTGACCCCTGACCACCTGCAAATAAAACTGCGTCCTTAAGCCTAAGTGGTACATAAGCAAGGGTGGACACTGCCATGTCCAGAGCAGGGCCCCAGGCTCCCAGCTCTCCCAGGAACCTACAGAAGAACGAAGCCCAGGCTCATCTGGACTGTGAAAATGGCTCAATCTGTTTTCCACAGAGGTCACTGTCAGCTGCAGTGGAATGAGTCTGAATTCCTAGGCTATGTGTGACTGCATTCTTAAGGTAAGTTCTAAGTGAAAGAAACTGGCCAATTCAGAAAAGATGAAATGGATGAAGTACAGAGAAAGATTAAGTGAGAGAAAGAAAAACAGAGGCAATGTAACAGACAGGAGAACAAGGAGCCGTGACTCTGAGAGGGAAAAGTGTGCAGCCAAGAACTGCAGTCATCCAGGCCCTGGCTGCTGTTCTTACTGTTTACTACAGAGGGTCTTTGTGCTTGAGGCTACTGGGGAAGGAGTGGGGTACATAGGACAGGGTCTCAGTGGCTCTGGCTCTAGCTCCCAGACAGCCAGTAAAGCAACAACAACAAAACACAAAACAGGGGAGGGAGGAATGCCTCAACTATGGAAGCAGAAAGATGGGAGCTATGAATGACAACTTATTGGGTGTGGAGGAGAGGAAGGGGAGGAAGGGACTCAGAGAACACCACTGTGCTTTTCTCTCACTCACACAGGGTCTCCCCAATAAATGCATGTTCTTCTCCATGAGCTGCCGCAGCTCCTGCCTCACCAGCCTCTCCCCCAATGCCTGTTTTCCTCAATGGCATTGCCAGCCCTGGTCATGGGTACAAAAGCAGCACCTCCAACACCTCCAACAGTCAGTACCCACCAGCAGCACCATCTCTATGTTCTCATTCACCCAGATGCCACCCTGCTGGTGGCTCACTTGGTAAGTCCTTCCCACGTTCAGTCAGCCTTGCACATGCCCTTCCAGAATTCCTTCCACAGACACTTTCCCCCTCACCCCTACTACAGCAGTTGCTTGTCAGTAAGCCTTTGGACCCCAGCTTTGTGGCTTTCTAGGCAGCAGCGTGCGTTCAAAGCACGGCCACAATCAGTACATGAGCTGAACAAGAACTGAAGAAGAGAGAAACCTCTTCCTGGTAAGCCACAATGTGGCCTGGGCAGGTGACACCATGAAGTTACGAATGGACCCCATCTCCTCACCAGCCCCCTATCTTCATGTTTGACAAAGTTGCTGTACTTCAGGTCAGAGACTTTGGCTGAGTTTTTGTTGAAAGAATGGGAACTGTGCTTCTCCTAAGCTCAATTACTGGAGTGACTGCCAACTGAAAATAATTTTCCACCAGTGCTTTCTTTCATTAACTCGTAGCTTTCCAATAGGCAAGCTACTTCCTTGGCTTAACAAGAAGAAATGCTGCACAGCTAGAACCACCCCTCACCTTTCTCTGTGTGTGTGTGTGTGTGCGCGCACACACACACATGCGCGTGCCACGGTTCCATTCTGCTCCATTCCAGGTGCTTCCAGGTGCCAGCTCTTCCTAACCACCTGGGATATACTAAGAAGGCTGAGAGAGGTTAAGTGACTGACCCAGATCACAATATTTTAGTGGCCTCAGTGGGGATAAAAATGTGCCCTGGGTTTTTCTCAATCTGCTGCTTCACCAACAAGCCACTCTGCCCCTTGGATGGCAATATTTAAACAAATACTGCTTTTAAGGACCACCTCCATTTAAGTGCTGTACAGGAATTTATCATTTTCAGTACTATGACTCGGCTTGCAGATTCCAGCCCATGACCTTACCCATCAATTCCACCACTATGTTTCAACACCAGAAAAGGCCAACACCAGAAGCTCGTTCTGCTGACGAGCACGTGGGCAGAGCCAAGGGGGGCCTCCCACACCACCCCTCCAGTACTGAGTGAGGACACACAACACAGTGAAATTTCACCCTCTGCAGGACCATCTCGGGACACCCCCAATTCTACTCTGATCCGGTACTCACAGCAACCTCGAGCCATGAACGGCAAGGAGTTTCTTTTGGGTATTAAGTCCAAAAAACTTGGTAGTAGTTGCTCAGTCCCTTGTGTTGAAAGGATTCTAAAGCTGTAATCCACCCAGCTCATCGGAGAAATACATGCTGTGTGGTTGATTATCTCTGAGCAAGGCTGGTTTAGGAACAAGGGCAGCCTCTCTACTCCACAGGGCATTCCTCCTGCCAGCCACCATCCCTCCCAAACTCAGTGGGACGATCACTTCCAGGAGAGCCCTGGTCTGCTGCTGATCCAGGGCCCCTCCCTATTCGCCCCCACCTCGACATCTCCCACCGTGCTCTGTAATGACCTTACTGCCCTACAACCACCTCATGAGCAAGGCAGGACCCCTGCTGCATGGTGCCAGAATGGAATTTACTAAGTTCAGCACCAAGGTTGAAGTGGGTACAAGGCTTGCTTGAGTACTGCGCAGAGGCCTGGAGACATATGGTATTTGGGTGCCAAGAAATATTTATGCTCTTAGCATGCACAAGTCCTAAGAACTGAACATTTGGGCTGAGGGTGTGGCTCATGCAGCAGAGTGACTGCCAAACAAGGTGAAGACACTGAGTTTAAACCCTGTATTACCAAAAGAAAGAAAAAAAAAACTGGCAGAACTATGCACTTGTCTTCTTCAGCAATAGCAAGCTTACAAATCGATAAAGCAAGAGTATTTACTATTACCATGAAACATGACTGCGTTGTATGATGCAATTAACAAAATGAACTCAAGCCCACAGTGCCATGGTTCTGTGGAAATGCACCAGAGCAAACATCAAGCCGGGCTTAAGACGCATCAATTGAAAAATAATGAACCTCTTAATGGACCTTACGAGATACATGCACTATGCACTGAAAACTGTTTTCCATACATCTTGGTTAATCACAATCAATAGAGTCAGAGTCAGTGATGATTATGCAGAGTTATTGTAGCCATGGCCCCTCCCGCTATTCCTTAGAGGAGCAGAGATGGGTAAATGCAGTCATGAGTTCACCAGTATTTATTAAGGACATTCTCAAGCCCCTTCATTAAAGATATAATAAATGCAATGCTCTCCTCAAGTTACTTATCAATAGCTTACCTCAGACTTATTTACTAGAAAAGCATGTATCCCTCACAATAGAAAATAAATAAGTAAATTCACAAGTATTTTAAAAGAAGAGGTCCCTAACGGGTAATGATCAGGTTCCTTATGGGAAACAGCCCAGTGTGGTAATAAGCAACAGCACACAATCTATACACAGCAAGGTCGAAAGGAAAACTGTCAAGAGAGGACATTTTCTGAAAAGGAGAAAGCATGTCAGGAGTTAAGTATAAGCATCAGTGACATTTATCTAGCACAATTTCATCCCTGATCTGCATTCACAGAGCCTCTGTTACCTCAGAGCTCTGGGGTTGTGCAGAGAAATGATCTGTTACCCATTCACATGAAACTAGCAGAATATCAGGCATACTGTCCCTGAGAACATTGGGTCCTGAGGGAAAAACACATACTACTTCAGATCAAAGCCTCTACTCATATTGTGGCATGGTCCATGATCAATATAAAGGTACATTTCCAATTAGAGAAAGTAAATACCTAAGAGCAAAGTATCTTAAGTTCCAGGAGAGGACTGCGTTTAAACTGGTGTTCTGAAAAGACGAAAGTACGATAAGACAAAATAAAGCAAAAGATACTCAAAGTTCACTCACAGAAACCAGAGCGTCCAGATTTTGCTTGATGCCTACAGGTAACTGAACTCCCTCTAACTGAGGTCTAGGCTGTACAGACACACAGAGCTATGGAAAAACGCACATTTGGGTCACGCCTAGAAGCTGAAATAGCCAGTGATCAGGAAGCGGTCAACATACATGCTGTGTCACATTCCCCCCAGCAGTGGGAAACAGGCAGAATTTGGACTACTGAATAAAAGTTCATCATGGAGAAGGCAATTGGGACTTTTTAAATCCAAAGGGGGAAATGGTCCTTTATTGTGATAGAAAAATGTTTCCTATACAGACAAGAGCTCTTAAGTAGTGGCGAGGAGCAGGGTTACTGCCGACCACCACCACAGTGCTGGCCATCCATATAAGCTTTGCTGTGCTGACAGCTTACTTTGGCAGAGCTGGCATGAGCTTCCAGGAGCCCAGGCACCACTCTCTCCCTCAGTGTCTCCTTCAGTCTTACAGCACACTCTACCTGGGCACACCTCAGGTCGTGCACTCTTCATCTGTTTTCAACTCTTCAAGAATTTGACAGGGTAATGGGGAATGGCCCGAGCATCACGAAGCACAGGGCTGTGGTCATACTTGCTGCTACTATTATTTTTATTTCTTCAGTGATAAACATACCATTTTACTTTGGTGCCAAGGACTGAACCCAGCACACCTCAGGTGTTCCCCCCACCCCCAATGGTAGTGAAATCACCTAAATTGCCTCTGTTAAGGGGTATAGCTGCTGGTGGATATAGCTTGGTTTTCAATATAATCATTGCTCTAGTTACTTTTTTTTTTCCTTTTCCTTCATACTAAACTAAAAAAAATTTCAGGTTACTTTTCATTTCTTTGTTGCAAAATTTCTTGAATAATTATATTCAAGAAATTTTCTCATTTACTCCCCTAATAGTGAACAGTGATGCCACTGGTATGTTTTATTATACAGCATGCATCCTTGAACAATGGGATGGATGCGTTCTGAGCAGCGTGTTGACAGGCGACACCAAAGAACATACGGGTGCTCTCACAGGAGACCCAAGTTGCTGGGTAGGCATGCCTAAGTTATGAGATCATTTTGAATAAAGAGATCTGTTCTTAGTACTACAAATACCTATTGAAGAAACTGAGGTCCTTAGAAGTGTGTGGGATTAGAGTTTGATTTTCCACTACCCTTGTGTTCTGATTATTTTCCTATAGTCCTGGTAAGGAGAATGACTGGACTTAGAGGAATTAGTTTTTATGACTTTTCAGATTAAGAAATCTTCTAAAATGCTTTTGAGCCCTCAACTTTTTCAGTTTAACTGTGTGAAGTCTCCAAACATCCCTCAAGTTACCATGCTCCCGAATCCATCTACCTCCTGACTGCCAGAAATAACAGTATGCCCCTCAGTTTCATAAGATGCTGACAAGGAAAAACAACTATGGCTGGGCAGAAATCAGAACGGCCTAGAGGACGGTAAGGTGGAGTGATGAGCTGCGCCTTCCTTGTGCTACAGATAAACACAGCTCCAGACACCAGGCGCAGGGTGAGGTGGACAGGACCTCTGGGAGGACACAGGACAGCACTGAGCCTTCAGGCCCAGGGAAGGTGTTCCTCTTATAGTGCTCAAAGTGTTTAAAATCCACAGGAACTACACAATGGAAGATACAGTCTTGTGAATTTATTGAAAGTTGCTTTCCAAGAGTAAATTTTATGGTTATTTGTGTTCTATATCAGCCTTTTAGAAAGACCTGGCCAGAGGAGAAAGCAGGATACATTGAGGAGTGGATGAGGGGAAATCTGGAAATACTTTAAAGAACTCCAGACAGGAGGAAAAGGTAACCAGAGGTTATTCATAAGATGGTAAGGGAAGCAAAATCTTAAGCCAAAAGGATGCACAATCCAACCCTTAAGCATCATGTCTGCAGGCAGTGTGGTGCTGAACAATCCAGCTCGGTGAGTGGGGACCAAGGCACTCAGGTTGCCAGGGATGAGGGAAGCAAGTAGCTGCTTCAAGGTTCTCTGGTTTTGTGTGGAAAGCAAAGTGAGGAAGAACCAAGAGGGGTCAATCATGAATCTCACTGCAGTGGTCAAACCTGGGCCTTTGCTGCTTGACTCTAAACCAACAACACCTACACAGACAACTGAAAGGGGACAAAGCTAGGTATTTTGCAACTCTTTTCTCTCTACCAATTAATAGGAAGTACATTTAATAGTAAAATTACATTTAAATGTAAAATCGGTTTATAGTTACATGAAACTAAGCCTCTGAGCAGATTTCACCAAGTAAAAAGAAAGGAAAAAGGAAGGGATGAGAATTAGGACAAGAGAAAGCAAGGTGAGGCGGCGCTGTCTCTTTAAGAAGCTCCTTGGAGATGCATAACTGTAGAAAGCCTGGAGAATACAACATTGATTGGGAATGAGGTAACCACAAACACGCTGTCTCAAATGAAAAGGGAGTCAAGAGCTGACCCAGAAAACAAGCATCGTAACCGCCAGATAAAATTTTAATGATAAACACAAGATGCTCTACATACAAGCAAGATTGAAGGATCTCTTGCTAAGCCATCACTATGAGGTTCTCTTAGAAGAGGAGCTGTGAGGAGCCTCTCTGACCCACAGCTCAAGTTTCACCCAATCGATCTCCAGAACGCTGGCATCGCTGGGCTTTGTGTGGCCTAATCCGCAGTGCTGAACAGACCCCCAGGGAAAGGGAGACCAGAGAGAAGGGCTGGCAGCTGGCCTGAGAGCGCCGGCCAGCCTGCCTCTCCTTTCCATCATGAGCTCCATATCCCGATAAGAAACTCCTAATTGGCTTTTGGGATAAAAGTGTCTCCTTTATTTCCAATCTTTTAGGATTCTTTGAGTCCAAGATCAGCATCTTCTTACACCCTAGGCAGATCTTTTCAAGCAAGACGAACACAAACACCTTCTGCTATGTGCTGGTGAATGGTGCTGGTGGACACACCTTGCCCATCTATAGGAGCTCTGAGTCCATGAGGCAACAATGAAAGTAGAAACGTGAAGCCACAATGAAAACCTGCTGAATGGATTGCCAACAACTCATCTTTCCAAAAATACTTCTACCGCTCTCCGCAGTCACCTTCCTATTACAGCCAGTCAACACAGCTAAAGAAAAGTGTCCCTCCCTGGGTATACCTCGTGAAAAAGACAAGCTTGGGCTGGACACTAGTGGCTCATGCCTATAATCCCAACTACTCAGGAGGTTGAGATCTGAGGATCATGGCTCAAAGCCAGCCATTATTATCTGTAATACTACCAAAAAGCTGGAAGTGGAGTTGTGGCTTATGTGGCAGAGTACTCACTATCCTTGTGCAAAAAAGCTCAGGAACAATACCCAGGCCCAAGTTTAAGCCCCAGAACAAGCACAAAAAGGGAGGGGAAGGGAGGAAAGGAGAGGGAAGGGAAGGGAAACAATCTATTTGGAATTTCAGTTCAAAAGGGGCTCTATAAGGAATGCTTCTTGAGGAAACTCGTTGCAGGAGTGTGTGTGTGTGTGTGTGTGTGTGTGTGTGTGTGTGTGTGTGTGTGTGTGTTCTGGGTCTGCAGCAGGTAGGAGCCTTCCTAAAGGAGCTCATTCATTCTAGTATGTATGTGTGTGTGTGTGTGTGTGTGTGTGTGTTCTGGGTCTGCAGCAGGTAGGAGCCTTCCTAAAGGAGCTCATTCATTCTAGTGTGTGTGTGTGTGTGTGTGTGTGTGTGTGTGTGTTCTGGGTCTGCAGCAGGTAGGAGCCTTCCTAAAGGAGCTCATTCATTCTAGTGTGTGTGTGTGTGTGTGTGTGTGTGTTCTGGGTCTGCAGCAGGTAGGAGCCTTCCTAAAGGAGCTCATTCATTCTAGTGTGTGTGTGTGTGTGTGTGTGTGTGTGTGTGTGTGTGTGTGTGTGTGTGTTCTGGGTCTGCAGCAGATAGGAGCCTTCCTAAAGGAGCTCATTCATTCTACAGCTAATCCAGACTCAAAGCTGAATGGTTCTGGCCTCCACTTCCTAGCACACACTTGAGACTCTATAGTACGCAACTTAAAGTTCACAATTTGAAACTATAGTTCAAGATATCTTCCCAACCCAGAAAGCTAGCTGACCTTCTTGTCATATACTATAGAAATACACGAATGTACTTCTGAACCAAAGCATAAAGAGCTCGTGGCAGTGGCTTTAGATCAGAAGCCAAATCTATAGAAGCTAAAATTAAATGTCATGGCAATGGAAACACATGAGAAGTCTAGCTCTGACTGAGTTAGATAGCACGTAGCCTGCAGAGGGAAGGAAGATTATGTGTGGCCACAGCCCCACATAATAAAGGCTTTAGAACAAGAGGATAAGAGCAGACCAGTTGTGTGCCAACACTTGTTGTTCTTGCTTGGCTTGACTTTATGTCTTTATAAAATACCAAGTGTTTGCCTTAATGAAACTCTAATGTGACCTGCCATGCGAGTGACTGGGAGGCGAGGAGACATTGAGAGAAGGACCACAGGCCTCCACGCGGGTCCACACCACTCACCACGCTCTCCACCTTAAACACAGGCCGAGACTGAGGAAGGGGCCCGCTCTGAAGGGAGGACAAGGTCACTGGTGCGCAGAGGGCAGACAAGTGAAATGTTTTGCTTACCCAGCAATGACAACGCCATCATGAGAATGCACATCACATAAAACTGCATCAGGAATATGCTCCAGCTCACTCACAGCACCTTTGCGATTCTGTGTAAGGAAAAGGGGGATGGCGTTTACACTATTCTGTGTAAGGAAAGGGGGATGGCTTTACACTATTCTGTGTAAGGAAAGGGGGATGGCGTTTACACTATTCTGTGTAAGGAAAGGGGGAAGGCATTTACACTATTCTGTGTAAGGAAAGGGGGATGGCGTTTACACTATTCTGTGTAAGGAAAGGGGGATGGCGTTTACACTATTCTGTGTAAGGAAAGGGGGAAGGCGTTTATACTATTCTGTGCAAGAAAAAGAGGGATGTCATATACATTTGTATAAGGAAAATGGGATAGTGTTAACACTATTCTGTGTAAGGAAAAGGGGATGGCGTTTACACTATTCTGTGTAAGGAAAGGGGTGGCATTTACACTATTCTGTGTAAGGAAAGGGGGTTGCATTTACATTATTCTGTGTAAGGAAAAGGAGATGGTGTTTATACTGTTCGTGGGATAGCTGGAAGACAAAAGTACTTTGTATTCTCTGATTTCCCATAGTGTTTTCTATGGCACGTACTGTATTCAAGGAATCTGGGCAGTCAAAAGGATAAAAATGACAATTAACACATGAAGCATGTCCAGGCCCCCATATACATGAAAGACACCAAACTGAGTGCATGTATGTGGACACACCCTGCCCTGAAGACCACTGACAATGATGAAAGGCTGCGATCTTCAGGAGGCTGGAAATCTATGGGCAGTTGTGAGTAACTGAAGAAGCCCCTAAATCATATTAAAAAGTTCAGTTCATATAACTGCCCAAAGATAATAAAAATAATCTGGGTGCCAGTGTCTCAGACCTGTAATCCTAGCCACCCAAGAGGCTGAGATCTGAGGATCATAGTTCAAAGACAATCTGGACAGTAAAAATCTGTGAGACTCTTACTTCCAATTACCCACCAGAAAACTGGAAGTGGCTCAAAGTGGTAGAGTGTTGGTCTTGAGCAAAAAAACTCAGGGACAGTGTTCAGACCCTGAGTTGAAGCCCCACAACTAACAAAAATAACAATAAAAAGATAATAATATTATTTTTAAATAAAGTCAGTTCAGAGAAAAGAGAGGATTTAGTCATATTTTATCTATTAACTCACAAAAGAACTCAAAACAAAAACCTTGAATGGGGTTGTGGTGCAAGTGGTAGAACATTTGCCTGGTACACACATGTCCTGAATTCAAACCCCAGTACTGCCAATTTATTTTAATAACTAAAATGAAAAAACAGGTAAGAGATTAGAACAGATGAAGGGAAAAGGAAACACTTCTGAGTACAAGATTGACCCTAGAAAGGATCGTTCAGGAAAACTTAGATGCTGTGAGGAGGAGAGCTAGGTAGCTAGGAAAAAGAGGGGGTTTTGTTTTCTACTCTGCACCTCTGTACCTTTGGTGACTTTGAATTGTTTTACCATGATTATTTCTAGTTCAGAAAACGATACCAATTATTTCTGTCTTTTCTTTTCTTTTTTTTGGTCGGTCGTGGGGCCTGAACTCTGGGCCTGAGCACTGTCCCTCAGCTCTTCAGCTCAAGGCTAGCTCTCTACCACTTAAGCCACAGCACTACTTCCAGCTTTTTATGCTTATATTGTGCTGAGGAATCGAACCCAGGGCCTCATGCATAAACTCTACCTCTGAGCCACCTTCCCAACCCTTCTAATTATTTTTAAAATAAAAATAAAAGGACGTAAAGCACTTGCACATGGGAGGCTGGGAAGAGTGAGACAGTAAAGGCAGGCATGAATAGAGGTATTCCAGAATAGCCATGATCTGAAAGGTCAGTCTAGCTTGGGGGTTAGAAATCGTGTGCATCAGCCCCTGTCCCCCAGGGTTAGAGACCATGTGCTCGAGGGTTAGACTTGGGCACCAGTGCCCCTCTCAAGGGTTAGAGACCATGTGCACCAGCCCCTGTACCCTCCCAGCATCAGGGTTAGAAAACATATGCAAGAGACCTTGTGCCCTCCTCTTGCCCCCCACCCCCTAGCCCCAGGGTTAGAGGCCATGTTCACCAGCAAAGGTTCAAGGGTTAGAGACTATATGCATCAGCACCCCTCCCTCTTCGCTCCACACAGGGTTACAGATTGTGTGCACCAGCTCCCCCTCCCCCCACACATGAGGGTTAGAGACCATGTGCACCAGACCCCCTCCCCTACCACAAGGGTTAGAGACTGTGTATACCAGCACCCAGCTCAAGGGTTAGAGACAGTGTACACCAGTGCCTGGCACGAGGGTTAGAAACTGTGTACACTAGCTCTACACACAGTTCTTGGCACAGGGTGAATGTTCAGTAGCAGTAGCTGCTTATGGTATTACTTTATTAGCATAGACATAATGACACTCATTCCATTAAAATCAACACTTATGAAGCAGCTAAGCTGCTCAAACTGGGCAAGATTATTTGTGTAACAGTCCTAACTTAATTGCAGGTCAAGTCTATAGTGCAGGGAGAAAGCTGCCTCCATCCAGGAGGAGCCATCTACCTAGGGGACTCTGGGGAGGAGGGAAGATCTGGGAGTCAGATGTGTGAGGGCCACTGCCACAGTTACAAGAACAGAGAGCTCTTTTAAGGGAAAGGCACTGAAAGAAGAGAGGTCTTGAGATGAAAATCTGCCTGCTTCTAGTAGAACATGAATGCTTTCCCTCTCGGGTTCCAATCCCTCCCCTCACCAGCACAGAGAGGTTTGAGAATGCCGGCAAGAGAAACACTACAGCCCATGCTCACACATTTCTAGGCTGATTCTAAACTGCAGGTCCATCCCCTACGTGCAGGGACCTAAGAACTTGGAGAAGTATCAAACCAAACTGCTTGTCCACCCCATTCCAACGCTGACCTTAAATAGGACATATCTACTGCTCTGTGTGCCAAGGCATATGAGTTTCAGGAGCCAATGGTGCCTGGGAAGCAGTTGTGGGCCAGGCTCTGCAAGAGGGGAATTGGGTGGTCACCCATGACAGGGCTGAGTGCAGTGCTACTGTTACTTGACTCCAGAGGTGAGAAAATGGAGGCATGCTGAGCGAGGCTAAGCAACCCGCCCTAATGCTAACTTTCAGGTTTCATAAGCAACTCAGTATTATGTTTAATCAGAGATACCATCTAAAAACCCACCCACTCAGGCATAGTTCAGTGTCAGGAAACAGACTGCCTGCACTTCTAAGCAGTGCACTCGTGGTCAGCCATTTACTGAGCACATATGGAGGTGCTGTGCTTGTTAGAGACACAACAGGCATTCAATGCGGCTGCAGAGAACTTGCCAAGCTCCTGCTACGAACTGCCCAATGCGCTGAGCTGAGTCTGTGAACCAGGTTGAGGACATGCTGCCTTTCCTCCTGGCTTTCTCTCCACCAAAGAGGAAGAAAAGCACCTGGCTGTCATTTTCTTGGACATGTCTGAATTCAAGCCAGGGGATATGCTCATAAATCGCAATAACCCCTCTTCTCTGGACAGAAAGGCCCAAACTACCTCAATTCTCAAGCTTTAATTTGGCCTCCAGGTTATCTGAGCAGCTGCCAGCCCTTCAGCTTGCCTCTCACCTGTGTTGGCCACGAGACCTAAGCAGGCACACAGCCCCTCAGTGGGCCTACCACCTTCTGTGGATGCACACACATCTGGGCCAGCAGCGTTTGGGTGGGGTCTTCACCCTACCAAATTCTCCTTAGATAACTGGGGCAGTTCTGCAAACACCTCACCCCCTGCCAAGGGACATCTGTCAGTGTCTGGAGACCTTCTGATCTGTCACACTGGGGGACTTAAGAGACTCCCGGTATCCAGGCCCAGGCATGCCATCCAACATCCTGCAAAGCACAGGACAGACCTTGCAGAAAGAATAAGTTGGCCCAATGTCACTAATAAGGGGACTGAGCTACTCTGAACAAGAAAAACATTGTTCACAGGGTGTGACTGGACTCAAGCCTACCATCACGAGGTGGCCAGAGACAGACATGTACACCGGCACTATGTCGCCCTCAGTGATGATCTTAGAGGCTCTTCACAGGAAGGGCCACTCCTCCATTCTCTGAGCTCACTGCCATCATGCTGCGCCCCATGAAGCTTGCTTCCTGACAGTTATCCCCTACAGAAACAGGGCTCTGCAAAGCTTCACTGTGAGCTAATGCTTCGGGGAGGCTTGAAGTGATAAATGTTAGGGCAGCAAGCCAACGGGTTAGGCGAGGGAAGAGCAGCCAGCATGCAGAGCCACACGGTGTCTCCCTCCTGCAAGAGGGTGTACAGCTCCCAGTGCGTGCGCAGGTGGTGCGTGCACAGGCAGTGTGTATGCAGGTGAGGAAATGCAAAGAGCTGCTCTGCAGTCAGGTGCAGGCTGTAATGAAAGGCTTGGCCTTTGGCCTGGGGTGTCCTTATTATAGTCCATCTTCCCCAGAGAAGGGTAGCAGCTACTACCTACCTTCCAGTTGGTTCTTAGCATGTGCTCCCTGGCACGGCACTCTTGGAAGATGAGCTTCCAGCATGAATAATCAGAGATGCTACTCTCTAGAAGGTGCCCTTCCCGCTGGCACAGCCTGTACCACAGCACCTCGTCCTCAGCAATCACCTTCCACGTCTTGCTCACCTAAAACGACACAAATGTCAAATTCTGCAATTAGAGAAGCCCCTTGCCATCCAAAAATCAATCAACACCTATATTTCCGCCCTGGTTTATGGCAGTATAAATGTCTCATTAGTGAAACACTCCAAGGCAGAAAAAAATACAAGCAAATGTTTCCAGTTTTATCTTTCAAGATTTCACAATTGTTGTACCACCATGTAATATCACATTTTAAGACTGCTTTTCTAACAAATGAGAGAGGAAAATACACAAATCCATAAAATGCAGAAAGTAACTGGTATTTAATGTGAGAGCTATATAACACAGCTTTTCAGAAGAGTCTCTGTTGCCAATAGCACTTGTACCTCCAACTTAGAGGACTAGAGATGGATGGCCACTGAAGAAAATAAGTACCCACTGAGTTAGATTTCTGGTCCTATGAAAGTCTGAATTTTTGTTATATGTAAGAACTTAGATTTAAAAAAATTAACATAAAGACGGGCATCAGTGGCTCACACCTATAATCATAGCTACTCAGAAGGATAAGCCAGCCCAGGCAAGAAAGTCTGTGAGACTCTTATCGCCAATTAACCACCAGAAAACCAGAAGGAGCACTGTGGCTCAAGTGGTAGGGCACTAGCCTTGAGTTGAAGAGCTCAGGGACAGCGCACAGGCCCAGAGTTCAAGTCCCACAACAACAACAAAAAATTAGCACAACACTCAAGCTGTTAACCAGGACTAAAAGATGTGATAATGAGAAATTAAGGTTACATCTCACCCAAAGCTCAAGCCCCAGTAATATCCAGAGGAAATGGTTGTTTTAACTATTAGCATGTTTTCCAACCCTAACAGGAGAATATCATCAGAGGATGATGTACAAAGTTGGTGGGACTGCTAGCTACAGATGAACTCCACTAGCCAGGTGGGCAGCCAACCTTTCTGGTCTGTGGCAGATGAGGGTAAGGCAAGATGAGAAAGGGCTCCATGTTTGTGGCCATCATCCTAAAGCTGGAAGTCCTGATGAACTGAGAGCAGAGACCACAGGTTTATGGAAACCTGTGCTCTTTACACACCCCGCAGTCCATTTGCACACCCCGAGTCAGAGGTAAGAAGAGAGCGTGTCAGAGGGAGAAAGTATGCACTGCAGATGTATGGCACACTCTCCATTGCTCAAGAGTGGCCAGTCCAGCTGATGAAGTACTGACATGGAACAAAACCTGGGGTAGCAGAACAAACATCTTTGAAAACCCATTCCTCCATAAGAGCAACTAAGACTGCCAAATGAGTTCTCTGGCAATCAGTGACTAAGACCTGAAGCAGGCTAAGTAATGTAATGAGCATGGATTCAAGGAAAGTGGTAGAATCACTAATGGTGACCAGAGTGGTTTTAACTTGTACTTATCCCCTCTCCAACAGCTCCATCGCACCCTCCAAAACCAACAGCCTCCTCACTACAGTAGCTGTGAAAGCCAACAGCCTACCAGCCTCTTGAAGAGCACTCCCCCAAAATCCACAGAGAGGGCAGAAATGAAAGGACAAAGGGGCAAAAGGACAAAAGACACACCGAAAGAAGCTGAAAGTTGCATAGCAAAATCAACTGCAATCTAAGAACTTAGCCTAGGTCTCAAAATTTGATTTTCCATCCTAAGCAAACTCTGCCAGAAATAACCACTATCTTACTCAATGAGAGCATGGGAAGGCAATGCTGACCCTGCGAGCACAGCTGGCCTCCTTAATTACACTCTGCTACATGGATAGGCATGTAAGCCCCCCATGTGACAGGCACACCAACTGAGCCACGTTGTCCCCCTATCACTTCCTTCCTTCCACTGGCTAGTGGACACCAACACTTTCCATTGGACCCATGGCATCAGAAGTGACACCAGATGGCATACAGTGGCAAGGCTTCTGTCAAGTTTCTAAACTGATGTGTCTTCAGTGGCTTGGCAGTGCAGAATTTAGAGAGCCTTCAGAGATCCATGGGGCGCATGCCCTCATTACAACAACCCCACCCAGAGCAGGTCTCACAAGCCCAGAATACTTTCAGCAGCGCTAAACTCCCAAATCAGCAAAAATGCACTTCCTCTCAAAGTGCTCCACGCCGCTTCCACCCAGGCCCTGACCGTTTCCTTCTCAAGAGGAATTATCTGTACTTCCCCTTGAAGACAGCCATCATGGCCCATGTCATTAGGTTACTGTGAGTCCTATGCAATTATCCACTTCAATCTGAATGCACCCTAATACCTGTGCATCTGCAGGATCCCTCTTCAAATGAGTGGGTCACAACTGATCTCCAAGACCCACATGTTAACTGTCAAGAGCCATGAGCAGAAGGAGACCTTATGAGATATAAGGCGGGGGTGTGTGTGTGTAATGGGGGTGCCGGGTGCCAAGCAGGGACATACAAATGAGTGAAGTATCTGCCACTGAGCTGCATGGCCACCCCAGACACATATGCTGCTTCACATGTTGGACAGCCACCATGACCACTCAACTAGCAGGTCACTATGGCTCCCAGAGTCTGGCTAAGCGGAGAGAAGAGGACAGTGGATGTTAGGCACTGGTGCTGGTAATCACAGGTGGTCAGGCTGCATGCTGCTCTGTCACATGCGCCCTCTGGCGCGGGCATTCGTTGTTCTTCAGGTCTTTTTAAATATGAGCTGGAACTTTTTTTTCTAAGTCCCAACTTATTTCCATGGTACTTTGTTTTATACCTGTTTCTAGTTTCTAAACTTCTGTAACTCCATCTTACCCATCTCACAGCCTGGCTCTCCAGATGATCTCTAAATCCCAACTCTGTCCCCCAATCACCAGCTGCTTTCCCCATACAAGGGTCATTGGCAAATTACAGTCTGAATTATTTAAAAAAAAAAAAAAAGAGGAAAAAAAACTGTGATGGGGCTGAGGCTGAGCACAGAGAGCTGTGGGAAACCACTGGAGGGCCCATGGCTGATATAGGTCCATTAAGCAGCCCACCCTGGGCATGGCCACAGCATCAGTTACAAATCCACTAACCGCACTGTCTTCCCTCACTCCTCAATCTTAGCCATAAGGGCATGAGAACAAACCCTCATCTAATCACAAGTGGTCAGGCAATAAACAATGGGATAATGACTCAATAACTCAGGAGCCCAGTTTTGACTACACAGAACACCGTGGTTTTATTCTTGGCATGTTTGGTCCACAGCTGAGCCCACCCATGACACCCCAGTGGTGTCTGTCCATCTGTCTGTGCCAGAGTGATCTGCGCATTAGGCAATCACAAAACACAGAGAGGGATACAGCAACACTGAATGTGATGGAGCAGCCAAAATTCAAACAGCCCTAGCAGACCCCTGGAACTCAGGATTAAGTGAGGTGTAAGACAAGAAATAACACAGAAACATGGGTTCTCCAAAGCAAAAAGTACCAACCAAACAGGGCAGCTGAATCCTGAACCCTGGGATACATGAGCTTTTTCAGCAAATTTATCAAGTCCTGAAATGTAACTACCAAACAAGACTGAGCATAGAAGAGAGATCATGTAAACACAGTCAGTTCATGACATAGACTAGCACTCCCTAAAACTTAGACCACTAACTCCATAGTCAAATGAGTTTAGAAAACATCCTTCTAAGTGAAATCAAGGCAAGGTTCTTTGCTGAAGGACTTCTCATGGCTTGTGATAAATTGACATGTGCTACTGACCTCCAAGACAAGAGTAGAAGAAAGTGTATTTTCCAGCCTTGCTTGATTCCTGACCTCTTCTGCTTCCATCAGTTAAGACTTGAGTTGGGCACTAGGGCCAGCAATTCTCATCCATGTCCACCTCCACCTGCCACCCCTGAGCATTCAAAAGGACCCGAGGCTGCTATCACACATGGAGAAACTAGAGGCAAAAAGTTTGCTCCTGCTGTTGTTACATCAGGTTGGAACACAAGACAGGAGCCAGAAAGGGATGTTTAAATTCTGTACTACAAAAATGAGCTGCAATGTAGGCTGCTTGTTCCCCCGAGAAGGAGCCTCTGAATCAGCAGCATCTTAAGAGCCTCCAAATCAGTGCCCAGTGATTACAAACTAGAGGATCCCAGACACAAAAACTTTCTGCATGGGTTGCCACAGGAACAATCAATCTGTGGCCACTTGGAAAATAGAGAAAATTAAGAGAGGCTTTCAGGAAGTCTCAACTATCTACACTTTCGAAGCCACAAGCAGATTGTATATGAGCTCCAAGGAAAATTCAGGACTCTTTACTAACACAACCAGAAGTTTGTCCAGAGGGATGGAAAACAGTAAACAGGTGATGCTCTGGTGTACTGCCCATGTCATCCAAGTCTCAGTGTTTGTTCTGCAAAAAACCAATGCTTAGAATAAGGTTTAAGTCCTAGATAATAAGCCAAAAAAAATCTGAGGATTTATAAAGGCAAAGGTGAAAATTACTTTCAAAAAGGGACCAAGTTTGTCCTTACAACTAGGTATTAAAACAGAAATGCTCAACTGGATGTTCACAATAAAAAAGAAAGAAAGGAAGAGAGAGAGAGAGAAAGAAAGAGAGAGAAAGAAAGAAAGAAATGCTCAACTGGGCTTCAGTGACTCTTGCCTATAATCTAAGCTACTCAGGAGGCTGAGATCTGAGGATCGAAGTTCAAAGCCAGCCTGGCCAGGAAAGTCCATGAGACTCTTTTCTCCAACTAACCACCAAAGAGCTGGAAGTGGAGTTGTGGCTCAAGTGGTAGAGCAACAGCTTTGAGTACAAGAGCTCAGGAGTAACATCCAGATCCTGATTTTAAGTCCCAAATCAGTACATGTGCATGTGCACACACACGCACACACACACACACACATACACACACACAAAGCCCAACAATTCCTTTAGCATATTAAAAAGGGAAATACTTCCCTTTTAGAAAAGTGACAGCCTTAAAAAAAAAAAAAAAGAAAAAGAAAAAGAAAAAGAAAAGAGACAGCCTTTAAGTATTCTGAAGGAGGGGCTGGGAAGGTGGCTCAGTGGTAGAGTGCTTGTCTTGTATGTATGAGGCCCTGGG